AAAAATCGGGAGCCTCATCTCCAGGAGCTGCAGAAGCAGCTAATTTCATTGCACCCTTCTTGACACTCTTTGTTTGAGCCTTCCTTGCTTTAGCTCCCATTTCCACCTATCCAGCACGTTTTATCCAAGCTTTGCTGCTAGGGTTTTACTAATCTTGTTCCTGAGTTCAGTGCAATTTACATTTCAATATAAGAGCTACTTTTTTAATACAACAACAACAAATGAAGTATAATCCCAACTCTGTAAGGGTGTGGGAGTCAAAATGTACATCATCTAATCCCTGTAAAGACAAAAGTGGTTGCCCTCATTACACCCTCGATGCATTGGTTCACTTACTGGCCAACACTTCATAGAAAGTACTGACGTCCCACTACTTTCACCCGCTTTTGCCTTAAATTCTTTGTTACTTTTTCTATTAAACATCAATATCTAATACGCAATTCCACTTTTCTTAATTTGCATGCCATTACCCCATGTCCCAAAAACAATGGGGGCAGATGGAGTGAGAAACAAGTGCCATTTTTATTTAGTTGTTCTACATTTTCCCGCATAAAAATTTGCACTATAACGACAACACACACATCTACACACCACTATATCAAAATTCTTTCATTTGCACATGTTCACCTTTCGCACACATGTTCTTTCACTAATCAATCTGCTTTATCTAATATTTCCATATTATTTTCCAAAACCTTATCATCGTTTTTAATGACATGCTATTTTTACATTTAAAGTATCAATTGTTTTTGTGAGTATTTCATTACTATGTCAGAATTATTTTGCATTCCTATTATGTTCTAAAAACCATCCCAAAAAACTTTAGCTAGTTAAAAGAAGTATTGAAAAGTTATTGTTAGAATTTGTTTATAATACATTCTTTACTAATAAAGAAAATAAACTAAGGGAAACATGTCTTTTTGGCTGTAATTTTTTTTAGCATGGAGTGAGCAAAAAAGTAAACAAAAACACATATACAAAACGCGAAAATGGCCGGCGGTGACATTTCATACAAACATTCATAACTACGTGGTTCATGGAACATAAGTATAATAATGTTTCAGGCATGAAATTTTTACGGTAGATCGAAAACTCAAAAGCGCTTAAGAATCAAGTCTCATAATTCGATAATTGAAACATGAACTCGTCGTTGTTTGATAAAGCAGCCGGAGATGGAGGCGTACCTGGACGGCGACGGGAGGAAGAACGGCGAGCGAACGGTCGAATGTGGAGCTCAATGGATTTTAGGGTGTAGTAATTATGTACCGAAAAATAAATATGAGTTGGGCTGATGTTGATAAAGTTCAGCCCAACTGGTTACCTGGCCCAGTAGTTTTGTACTGAGTTTCCAAGAAACCCAATGTCTTGTTTGCCACTTTGACCATTGTTGAGATTTCATTTTGAAACACTTCTGAAGGGAAAAAAGAAATAGATTTGAATACAAAATATATACTCTCTATGTGCATCTATTTTTGTTTATTCAATATTTTTATGATTAAAAAATAATATAGTTATAATTTTCTTGCACTTATAATTTTTTTACCTTAAGCTCAAAATTTTGGAACTTCTTTACTAGTTTTAGGTCATGTTCTCTTCACTTGATCTAATTGGTTCTAATCTAATTGGAATAAGTTATGATATGATCTAGTCTGATCTGATCTGAACATAATTATATTTAAATTTGTTTTTGATCTGATCTGATAAAAAAATCGGGAGAACATGACCTTAGTGGTTAAAAGTCACCCTCCTAGATTCAAGGAGAAGTTCTTCTAGGTTTGATTCTCACTTTGAAGATTCAAGGTGAGCCATGGGTTCCAACAAAAATGGATGTCACTTTTTTCTTTCGGAAATAGAATTCACTATACACTCATTTCTTATTAATACGGAGTAATAAAATACGTGTGTCATAGTCTTTTTCTTTTTGTTTTAACAAATTTCAATAACACATTTTCACGTTTTAACACATTGGTTAAACTTTGCGATGAAGTTTAATTTGAAGGGATAACAAGTAATACGGAGTAGTAAAAATTAAAAATCAAAACGTTGTATTGTTAAATTATGAAAGTCGAACTCATGAGATAGAGTAATAATATCAATTATATTATTTTGTAAAATTTTTAATGTAATTTTTAAATATGTAAATTTTACCTTTATTTTTGTACCAACTTATAGATAAACTCATTAAAAAAAGATAAACTTTTACATGTTATTCGAACATGTTAAATGAATTTGGCACAGGGGAAGTAATATAGAATAATAAATATTCAGAGCATCTCTACCGGGGAGAAAAGAAGAACTATGATGATGTAGAAGGAAATATTGAGGAGATTACATGTGTGAAAAAAATAATACTCCGTACTCGTAAGAATAGAGTAAGAGAATAATTAGAGAAGAGTAGGGAACGTTTAAGATGAAAATAATGTATCATTAAAAATGGATGAGGTGCGAGGAGAATAGATGGAATGAGTAATAATATTCTAAAGTCAAACTGTCATCGGATAGAGTAATAATTACTCCGTACTAAAGCCTTGTTTGGAAATAATATTTTCAATTAGCGTTAACACTTTAGATAATCAGTTAGGTGTAAATTAACATTAAAAACACTAAAATTATATATTGTCATTAGATAATCGTTTCAAAATGAAGCTAATTAATGTTAAAGCTCTGGCCAGGAAAACACAAATTTGTCATCAAATGAAGTTCAGAATGTCATTGAGGGTCCGTTTGGTATACGGAATTGATGGAATTAGAATTGAATTGGAATTGAAATTCCATGAGATTCAATTCCATAGAATTGAATTCACCAATTCCAATTTATATTTTGCACTATCAATTCCAAATCCATATAATATTTAAGCTACCAAACACCAGAATTGGAATTGAAGTCCTCAATTCCAATTCCATAGTTTGAATTCCATGTAGCAAACGGGACCTGAATACACCATAGGCTTTCACAACCCGTACTTGAGGAGAAATAGGAACAAAATCTTCACAAAACTGCAGAGTTTCACCAATACTCACATCACTCACCTTACAACACTTGAGACTGCCCTAATAGAACCCAAGTAAGACCCTTGTATCACACAATCCAACTTACTGAGAAAAGATTTCCCAGAACCGCCCGAATCTCTCCGAATTTTCGACGCGGTAGCAATCACGACAACATTCTCATCGTCCGCGACGTCTATTTCGTACAACTCCCCGAAAACATCTCGGAACTTGCTCATCAGCGTTTCGTAGAATTGCTCGCAAAGAGGCATGACATTGACAATAATAACCCCGTGCTCGGAAAGAAGCCTCTTTGCTGCAGAGAGTGTAGGTTTATGAACAAACTCAGGTGGAGGCGCACTCGTTCCTGCACCAGCGCAAGCCGAGTCGAGATCAACCATAATGGCATCAAATTTGACACCTGCATTGTCGACAGCATCAAGAAATGAAATCGTTGAACCCGAATATTCGCTACCCCAAAATGCCAAAACAATCATAGGCCTACATTCACAAGATCGACAGCCTACTTAGGTGAAATTTGGTACCCCAAAATGTTAAGGTCACCTAAACTTTCTCACACACATCCATAGACATTGAAGAGTACCATGTGTTTGTGGATGTCTGTGAAAAGACGGCGATGCCCCTAGCATGATGGTCCATAGGGCATAGGGTAGCACCGTACTAAAAGCTTGAAATTTATAGAGGCATACAGTTCATTACCAAAATCTTTTGCATTTGAGAGATCATGATTTTGAATTTTTCCAGCCCCAGTGTATAGTTTTCTGATCATATCCATTCCATCTCCTACGCATAAACGAATTGATTCACCATCTTCTTCCAAGCCAAAATATTTTCTAGCCATTTCCAAGACGCGATCGTCCTCTTCAACACCTACTACTTCGAAACCCAGCTGGGAGTTCAAGAAACTAAGCAATGCCCCTCCTCCAACCCCTAAGCACAATGCTTTTGGCCTGATTCCAGTTCGTATTAGCCCATCCAAATGCGAGGCAATCACTGATAGCCCAGCAACCATTGGGGTCAAATAAGGATGAACCAAAACCCTATTATCTGTTTGGAATTTCATGGCTTCTAGGTTTTCAAAATCCAGTGATTCGGGGTGGATTCTTATCTGAGTTTGGATTAAATTCGGCGTTCTCTTGAACCTCAGCCTCCGCCGGAACTCTCTGCTGCCGTTCTCTGCTTCCAGCTCCACATCCTCCACTGCGATTTCTCCAACACGGTTTCCGAAACAAGTTTCCAATACGCGAATTTGGATCACTTTGTCTTCGTAGTTCAGGAAAGGGATTCGCGGAAGCCCGCCACCTGTTCTACGAAATGCCTCTTTGGGACACAGGGCGATCATCAGGGGCATCAGGGCATCTTCGATCCCGGAGGTATCGTCTGTAGGCGACGGGGGCTTATGAGAGGTGGCGCGTGGGGAATCGGGACAGTTCCCGATGAGTACGAGGCGGGAGAGGTGCGGGAAGGCGAGGATGAGCTGGAGGTGGCCGGACTCCGTGGAGAAGGTCCAGTCGGATTCGCGGAAGGGAGGGACGAGCATGGCGGCGATCGTGGTCTGTGCGGTGGCACCGGACGGGGAGTCGATGACGGCTATGCGGAGGAGGGTGGCGGTGAAGTGGTTGAGGTGGAGGAGAGGGTTTGGGAGCGTGAAGGTGATGTAGCGGGAAGGGACTGTGGTTTCAAAAGCTGAGGGGTCGAGCGCCATTGCTGTAGGCTGAAGTGCTGAACCACCTGAATAGGAGGATAATGGTAATAAAAATGGGAGTGGTTTAAAGTTAAATTTAATACTCCCTAGTCCCTCCCCATAGGAAAATTATACTCATGCATTCGGTTGTACTCAATTTTAGATACAATCAAAAAAAATTTTATGATATGAATTTTATTTTTACATTAGAACAACAATAAGTTATTTGAGAATAAATACTATTTTGTTTCAGAATGAACATTACATTATTTATAGATAAATATTATAATTATATTGAACCAATGTGTGAAAATGAATACTGCATTATTTTAGAATGAGTACCACGCTAATTATATTTGTGCGAGAATGAAACTACTCTATTTCAGAATGAGTACTACCTGGATGTACGGTACATCATGTTGTACCATATACCTTCTCCTCTCCCAATTGCAATGTTATTAAACAGTTTATGGAGGATGATTTATGTATGGAACAGTTATCGTTTTAGCCCAGCTAAAATGATAAACTAGTCTAAAAAATACACCAAAATATAAACACGGGAATTTTTACGTGGAAACCCAAATCAGGAGAAACCACAGGCCTTTTTTGGCGGTACCTAGCCAAAGGGAGATTTTTATTGATATTGGGGGTGTGTACATGGTACAAGAATCGGGCTCGGAAGCCATTAATGGAAGCTTAAAAGCATATTGAAGAACAGAAACTATAAAAATCTAGGGAGAGAGTATTGTGGGCAGGAAAGGAGTGTATTGAGAGAGCCCCCCTAACATTGAGGGGGAGCCCTCCTTTTATATGGAAAGAGGAGAAGCATATTCGGGGAATATTCTCTTATTCCTCCATTTTATTAAACAGGTCCGGTTTGACTGTTCTTTGTAAATAATTGGGAAATGTGAGCCGAGCAATGTATTATTTCGCATCAAGAAGTCCTCCACTTTTTTAAGTTGTGAGAATCATCAACTTAAAAAAGTAAATAAGTCATCCGAGTGTGATCTTCAGTCTTCGTACTTTGAATTCTTGACCGGTAGATATTATTGCTAGTCCTCCGAGTCTTCATTAATTCTCTAATTTCTTGAATCAGAAGTTTTTCCTGCAAAAAATAATTCGTACAACATTTTTTTTGACCGGCCTATGCCGTGCTCAAAAAATTACTTCCTCCGTCCCACTATATTTGTCCACTTTTATTTTTGCACACCATCCAATACACTTCTTTAATCCATTTTATCTTGTAATTTGTATATTAAAAAATTATAGAAATTATATATTAATAATCTATATGTTAAGACAAATCAAACAAGATCACGCATGACTATATTTAGGCTTACACATTAAGAGAATTTGATGAGTCAAAGTGCTTAGATAAACAGTTCCAAAAATCAAAAGTGGACGAATATAGCAGGACGGAGGGAGTATTATTTTTACCGAGGAGCTCGGTGTTAGGTGATTGAAATTCGCGCGAATAATTATCGTAACGAGAGCAATGTCAGTTCGATAAAGCAACGATGCTTCGAAAAGTTATATCGTCGAGGTCGGTGTTAATACGAGTCAAGCAAATGATGTGTGACGAAATTAGTATACCGATGACAACGACCTTAGTTAATAAGAATTGAATCCGATGCAGTAGCTTTGTTGAAGATCAATGTTAGCCCGGCTGACTGATGTAAATATCTTCATGTCTCGCGGAGACCATCTTCGATCAAAGTGCCTCAGACTGAGGGCTTAAATGAATCGGGCGTCCCCGATATGAGCTTTGCTCACTTTTTTGCTGAAACCGATGTGCAATCGGTGTACCCAATTCGACTGGGCTCAGGCTTATTGGAAAATATGTGTAAGACTGGTGTGAGACCAGTGTACCAGTTCGACTGGGTGACATATTTTCTTTATTATACTGAGCAAAACCGGTGTAGTAACCAGCGTGCCAGGCCAGACCTGTGTCTCAGTCTTCCAATAAGATAATGCTGCTGGCCGGGCCAGATCAACATTGGAGAATTAACCATGTCGGATGGTTTCAAGCCCTCTCCAAGGCCCAAAATGCACCCTTCTTCCAGAGCCCCCTATTCCGGGTGATTAAGTTTTTTAATGACCATTTGATATTTACTATCCCGGGAAGGCTTTAGCTCACCCCCCGTTCAAGTCTTCCCTGAGAAGGGGGAAAAATAGGATGCGCCACGGTGGACGATCCCCTTCTATTTCTTTTAATGGGCATCTTTTAGTCCCCAATCAATTTGACGGCACTGGCTGATTCCCCGATACCGGTCAAACCTCATGGGCCCGTGTAAGTACGGTTCGAACCTTCTTCCAGGTCCAGCCCTCTTGCAGGCATACCCTCTTCCGGGCTTATTATTTTTTTATTTTATACTGAGCAAGACCGGTATAGTAACCGGCGTGCCAGGTCCGGGCCTGTGTCCCAGTCTTCCTTTCCAAAATTTGCTGAAGGGTGTAGCTATGGGAATTTGCTTAATTCCCTCTCGCCGAACAAGGGGTGGAGTTTTGCCACTTGGAATTTTTTCCATTCTTGCAATCATGGAGGAACATTTTTTTTGCAGGGCCATTTCTCCACTGTCAAAGGGAGTCCCACGTGAAGCCATCTCCCCCACTAAAAAATTCTCCCCACTCCACTATCTTTGTGGGACCAATTTTCCACTATCAACGTGAAACCATCTTCCCAACTTTGTGCTTTTTGGCTTTGTGCATATGTCTCTAATTGGAAAGTGAATGCCATATATGGTGGCCCACCAATTTGTATATTTGGTGGATTTTTTCCAATCTCTTTGATTCTTTTGCTCCATCCTTCCAATGTGGCTTTCCCTTCAAAATAGGCATAATACACCGTATTTTTGTGGATGGGCCCAAAGGCCCCAAACTGCACAATTTCTACAACATCTTTTCTTGCACTCCAAAATTTGAAACATTATCTTGAGTGGGGTATGGCCAGATACTGCCTTCTGCTTTCTTGGTGGTTTACGAGGGTGAGGGACTCCATGACAGCCACGAATTCCAATGGTTATGGCAGCAGTACTTAGTGGTGAACTTGGCCCTCCGACGATGTAGTGGATCCCACCGCAATCATGGCAGCCGGAAATATAAACACCACCAAGCAACAACCGGCGCCTCCACCTAGAAGGAAGTAAACTTGGTTGCAGTAGTGATGGGCGAATCTTTGCACTATCAATCGAGGGTTTCAAAATTGAGATCGGTGATAGCGGAGGTCAATAGTAGTCTCTACAAGCATAGCCCGTTTGCCTCGAGCGAAGTGGCGGCAATGAATTGCTTCCATCACAGGGGTGGACCTCCATAATGGATTCATGGCAGGGGTAGAGTGGCGGGGATGACGACAGATCTTTGTAGCAGCATCGGTGATTTACTTCGTCGGCGGCGATGATTGGCTTCTATCGGGGTTTGATTTTTCCCGGCGTGGTGGCTCACGGCTTTGGCCGCAGCGGGACCAAAAAACAGCCATGTGGTGATGGAGGCGCACAAGTGTCGGCAGTGGCATAGATGACGACAAATCTTTGCAGCGGTGTCGGCAGGTCTGAGCATCGGCGGCAGATTTGAGCAGCGGCGGCGGAGGCGGCGGCTCTGAGCAGCGGCAGAGGCGGCGGATTAGAGCGGCGGCGGCGGCTGGTTAAAGCAGCGGCGGCGGCAGATTTGAGCAGCGATGGCGGAGGAGGCGGCTCTGAGCAGCGGCGGAGGCGGCGGATCAAAGCAGCGGCGGCAGCGGCATATTTGAGCAGCGACGGCGGAGGCGGCGGATCTGAGCTCGATTTAGGGGCGGCTTTAATTTGGGGTTCTGCTTTCTTTCTCCTTTTTTGTCAAATCAAAAAATAAAAAACCCTCCCTTCTCTCACTCTTCTTTTTTTGTGGCTGAAATTTGGGTCACTCTTCTCTGAGAGCATTTTTTTTGTTCATGTCCCACGGGTGGCGCTAAAATGATGGTGTAAATTATCAACCGGTATATCGTTTTAGCCCGGCTAAAATGATAAACTAGTCTAAAAAATACACCAAATTATAAACACAAGAATTTTTACGTGGAAACCCAAATCAGGAGAAAACCACGGGCCTTTTTTGGCGGTACCTTGCCAAAGGGAGAATTTTATTGATATTGGGAGTGTGTACATGGTACAAGAATCAGGCTCGTAAGCCATTAATGGAAGCTTAAAAGCATATTGAAGAACAGAAACTATAAAAATCTAAGGAGGGAGTATTGTGGGCAGGGAAGGAGTGTATTGAGAGAGGCCCCCTAACATTGAGGGGGAGCCCTCGTTTTATAGGGAAGGAGGAGAAGCATACTCGGGGAATATTCTCTTATTCCTCCATTTTATTAAACAGGTCCGGTTTGACTGTTCTTTGTAAATAATTGGGAAATGTGGGCCGAGCCACGTATTATTTCGCATCAGGAACAATTTTAAAGTTTTATGTAATATCTTATAACCAAGAAATAAATATAAAATACCATGGGGACCATTTATAGAATTTACTCTATTCATAAAATACTTTGATAAGATGTATTTCACATGTTATACAAAGCAGATACTAATATACGAATGATATGCGTTTAACTAAACGATATTTGGAGTGATGGAGGAATATAAGGATTTAGACATCTATAATGTTTTGTTAGTTTTAACAATAATTTTTGACTTCTCTTTTTTTTGGCACGTCTAACTTTTGTTAGTTTTAAAATATAACGTTCAATACATCTATATAGCGTTAAAATATACTCGTAAAAATACATCTATATAGCGTTAAAATATACTCGTAAAAATATAGTTTTAGACATCTATATAGCGTTAAAATATACTCGTAAGCAATACTCTGTATTGAAGTACATATGTAAGCATATACTTTGTATATGTTTTTTATTTTCTTAGTTAACGTTTTAAAGCCTTCTTGGAGTGGTGCTTTATAAAATTTTAGTTACATTCATATTCATGTCCACATTGATCTTGGCTTTAGACTGTTCATTGAACTTGGCTTTAGAGTGCGGGGTGTACAATCGGTATAACAGACGTGACACTCAATCCTGACGGGAACACCACCCCCTATCGGAACTCGACATGGCCAACGTCTGTAGTCTGTACGCTGAGCTTCACTAGCTTTTTTTCTTTTTTTACCCTTTTCTTTCTCCTCTCACTCTTCTTCTCGCATCGCAACTTCCATGGGCTCTTTCTTCTTCTTCTTCTTCTTACATCACAAACCCCCTCTTCTTTTTTTAAATCTGAACTTCCTCTTCAATTTTTTTATTGTAATTTTTTTTAATTTTCTAGTTTTGAATTTTTCAAGATATGATTTTAGTTTCTATTTTTTAATTATAGATTTTACTTTCAAATTCTATATTAGTTTAATTTAAAAAATTATAAAGTTTTATAAAAAGTAATATGTAAAAAAAAATTTAAAAAAAGAATAGACACGAAATACGGGACTAGACTTTGGAGCCCGAATGAAATGAAGATAAGAGAGAGAAAGGTGACGTTTGAAAATGAGCATGATTGATGATGACACGGTTTTGACAGCCTCTACTCTACCCTTTATTGGGATCTAGGTCCGGGGGAGTACAGTAATTCGCAAGAGCGCGGCAAACAGATCAAACCATGCGCGCCAAAACAAAAAACAATCAAATCAAAAACCCTACGCAACAGTCGGGAGCGCTCTAAACGTCTCTTGCTCTTCCCCGCAGTCGGAATCCATTCATTGCCCGATCGGAGCTCAAACAGGTACGAATTCCGTTCAGCTTCTTCTCCGTTTTTCATTTCAACAATGAATCTCCGTTGTCTTAAACCTCTCATGTCGCCAATGATCGGCAGACAACGTTCGCTCGAGGAATTTAGATCATAGTTTAATAATTTCCAATCTGTATTCTTCTGCTATGGCGCTCTGAATCAAGGCGATATATCAGATAGGAAGTTGCTCCAATGGAGTATTTGGGAGCTTTGAATAGACTATATTAGGGATTTAGAATATAGAGAAGGAAGATACAAGAAGGGTGAAGATTGAAGAGGAAGATGGGTTTCTCATTATGCCTTCGACTACAGAGGATTATAGTTATGTATCTTCTCACATGTTACAACTAGCTAGATTAGTTATAACAAACTTCAACCAACAAACTAATCACAAGCCGATTACAAATGAGACCCAAAAGAAGTAAAATGTTACAAATATTGTAACATACTATCCCCTAACTGACAACCTTGTACTCAAGACTGAAATCTAGGAACATAGCTTGCACATCTTCAGCATGTTTTCACACGGCGTCCTGTGGAGATTGGTCGGTCCATTGGATCAAGAATTGAGTTTAAGCTGACAGGTTCTTTCTTGTTGTTTGTTTAGCAAGCACTACCAGGGGTTTAAGCATAGAATCCACATTGAGAGCTTGCAACCAAGGTGGAATGTGGGGTTGTGTTTCTATTGGCCATACGAAAGCTTTCAAAAGAGAAACACGGAAGACGTTGTGGATCTTAGCAGTAGTTCGTAGCTGTAGTTTGTAGGTCACCTTGCCAATCACAACCTGAATTTGTAAAGCTCTAGAGTACTTAGCACTCAATTTCTCATTGCTCTTGTTATAATTGTGGCTTGTTTGTAGAGTTAGAATTTATGTCATACCGAATCTCTCACATGGAATACTCTTTCAGTTATGTGACAGTCAACAAGTTGCTTGACTTGTTTCATTCTGTTATGAACTCTATGCAGGTTGAACTTCAACTCTCTAATCATCTCTTCTCTCCCTTGTTGTCATCTATCCACAACAAGTCCACTTTAGACTCCCCTTGAAGATAAGGAAGATGTATACGTGGTGGTTGATTATACACAACCTCATAAGGGGTCAAGTGGGTGGCATAGTGATATGTGGGGTTATAACACCACTCCGCTAGGGCACCTATTTACAACTTCTATTTGCACATGTTTTTCCCCTTGATAGGAGAAGGAGAGTAGCAAATCCACCCCATGTATCAAGAATAACCCTTGCCAAAAAGTGCTTAAAAATACAGAATCTCTATCATCAACAATGGTTTGGGGTATGCCATGAGTTTATATCCATTGTCAATATAAGATTGAGCTACCTCCAATACAGTGTACAGATGGACAATGCTCAAGAAATGGGCATGCTTACTTAATCTGTCTATTACCACAAAAATCACCTTTTACTTTGAGACATAGGTAAACCTTCAACGAAATCCATGGACATATCTACCCATACATTTTGAGGAATAGGCAAGGGTTGTAATAGACTTGGGGTTGCTGTTATTCAATGTTTGCAAGCTTGACAGGTTTTGCATTCTGTGATAAAGTGTCACTTCTTTGTTCATTGCTCTCCAGAAGAACAAAGCTTTGACCCTATTTAGAGTAGCATATCAGCATATGTCTGACTGACCCTACTAGATGAAGCATGTGCCCGGTGTAGAATTTTTTGCCTAAGCTGCGGGACTGAACCCGCCACCAGTTTCCCTTTTCTTCTCAATTGTTGGTGAGCCTACTAATAATGAGGAATGTTTGCTCCACCCTGCAACTGTTGGATAACAGTCTACTTGTGTTTATCTAACTGCCAAGAATCTATGATCTGTGCCATTAGGTCATACTCAATTGTGGACAACACTGTCTGCATAAGTTGTGCATCTGAGACTTCAGGCAATGCATATGCTGCCTTATTGCCATGTCCCTTTTTGTATTGAATCTCATTAGAAAACCCCATGAGTTTATAAAGCTGAAATTGTTGGAATGGGGTAGAAACCTTATGTTCCAACTACCACTTCAGGCTCTTTTGATATGTCTTTATGATGAAAGGTTTGGCCACTAGGTATTGTTCCCACTTTTGAACTGAGTGTACCACAAGTAGAGGTTCCTTTTTATATATTAACACTTTAGAGGCTGCTGCTCAGGCCCCATACCATATATGCAATAAGGTGAGTGTTCTGCCTAAGTATTGCCCCAATGCCTTGTTGAGAGGCATTTGTTTCCACCACAAATGTTTGGGAGAAATCTGGAATCGCCTGTACCGGCCGTACATGGGTAGAAACTAGATCCTGCTTGAGTTGACTAAAAGTGATAGTAGTTGGAATTGACTATTGAAATTATCTTTTTCTGAGTAGATTAGTCATGGACCTGCTAATAGAAGCATATCCTTTTATAAATCTTTTGTAATAACCTGTTAGGCCCAAGAAGCTCCTTAATTCCTTCTCATTCTCAGGAATCTGCCAACTTGTCACAGTTTGGACCATCCTTGGATCTACTCGTTTACCAGAAAGGAAATGGCCCATGTATTCCACCTTAGGGACAACAAAGATACATTTGCTTTGCCTGGCCACTAAGGAGTGCTTTTGTAGGACCCCCAACACTTCTCTGAGATGGCATACGTGGACTGACATACTCTGGCTATAAATGAGAATGTTATAAAAAATATCAAGACAAACTTCCTCAAGAATTGTTGAAAGGTCAAAGGTATGACTCATGGGACCTTGACAATTGAGAGGAGCATTAGTTAAGCCAAAGAGCATAACCAGAAATTCATAGTGGCCAAGATGCGTCTTAAAAGATGTTTTACACACATCTTTTGCATTTACCCTGATTCGATGATGATACCCAGCTCTTAAATCCAGTTTGCTTCAGCCAGTTCATCAATGAGTCCTTCCACAATAGTATAGGGAACTTATCCTTTGTGGTTGCCTTGTTAAATCCCCTATAGTCCACACATAACCTCCACGAGCCATTCTTTTTGTCTACTAATACAACAGATGAAACAAAAGGGTTGTTGCTCAGTATGATAAACCCACTTTCCAACATTTCCCAAGTTAGCTTCTCAATAATATCTTTCTGTTTGTTGGATATCTGATGGTCTGATGTTGACTGGCTGGCTACCTTCCTTGAGTGCGATATTATGGTCAAAAGTGCCCCTAGTGGATGGGAGCTCAGATAGAACCTGAAAGAGCTGAGTATATTTTTCCAATATTGACAGGTAGGGACACTACTTCACCAACTTCATTGTGGCTGCTTAGATCCACCGGAGTCTTGTTGTCTTCCTGATGATGTATTAAACATATCTGTGCCACACTACCCATATTCTTAGCCAACTGCTCTCCTTTCATTAAGCTCATTTTTTTGTCTAGCACTCCTTAGGATATACTGATATAGTTCCTACCTAGATATTTTAACTCCATGTGCAATTGCTTGTAATTCCATCTGACACTACCTAAAATCTTCATTGGATGCCCAACACAATATCACAACCCCCAATTGGCATGATGTACATGTCAGATGTACATTTTGTATTTTGTAATTTCCATCTAAAACCTTTACAAGCTTGAGTATACTGCAAATTATACCCATCTGCTACTGCCACTTCTAGAGTACTCATAGGTTCCACGGAACACCCCAATCTTTTAGCTAACTAGTTGTCCATGAAATTATGGGTACTTCCTGTATCTATGAATAGCCAAAGTGCCTTTTTTCTTACAAACCATGTGACGCTCATGGCCAACTATAGCATGTATGGATATTGCTGTATCATTGTCTCTAATTGTTTCTAGATCAGGCATTTCAAACTGTTCCTTTTTTTTGGCCCAAGACTTCCACCAATAACAACAAAGTCTACTTATGGAAGTTTATGCTCACATTGATGGCCTCTCTCTTAAGGCTTGTCAAAATGGTAATACAATTCCTTTGATATTTTCTCAGCTCTCACATTAGCAGGGATAATACACTTGGGATTCGTCTGGGGTACAGATTGATTGGTTCTGTATGTACTAATTGTATTCATATTGTTACAAGATCCCTGTGAGGTATAAGATGTTCTGGCTTTGGAATTGGATTCTAACATTGTCAATAGTGGTATATTATGCTTCCCCAATCTACTACTTTCGTGGCTTTTACAAGCTTCCAGGGTCTCCTCCTGTAGTCTTCCATATTCAATGACTTTGGCCACAAACGTTGGGTTGATAGCTTTAACAAATGGCTCAACTTGGAGTTTAAGCCATACCACAAAGTTGTCCAGGAATTATTCCTGAGGCATAGTAGTCCATCTCTGAATCAGCAGACCTTTTAACTCTCCAAATCTGTCTACATATTCCTCTAAACTCATTTTTTGACATAATTTGTTAATTTCCTTTACAATGTTATCATGTTTATTGTCCTTGGCACCTAGATCCACAATAAACTCTTCTCAGTCTACATTATTTCTGTTCTGTCTGTAATTGCTAAACCATATCTCAGCTTTGCCTCTCAAATGAATTGAGGCTAAATCCATCTGATTTTCCAGCAGTAAAAATAATCCATTGCCTTGGAATTTTCCCTTCAAATGTAGGAAATTTTATCTTGAGATTAAAATGGGACAGGTTCTTACCTTCACCATGGTTTGAAGTACTTCCACCTGAATCTTGTCTTCCAGATCCATTCACCTGTAAATCTGCAGCTGTGTCAACAAGAGCTGTACTTGCTTCTCCATAACCCTGTTATGTTCCAGGAGCTACGTGGACATCCATTTTCACTGTTCAATCATTTTCGTAAGAGCTTCCTCCACCCTGATTTGTGCACGTGTATTGGCAAGATTTTGATGAAATGGAATCGACTAATGCTTTGATACCAATGATGCAGCAAACAGGAAGCTGCTCCAAAGCAGCAAATAAGAGCTTTCTCTTTATGCCTTCAATTACGGAGTGTAGATATATATATTCTCACACGTGTTACAGCTCATAGCTAGCTAGCTAGATTAGTAATGACTACCTTCAACCAACTAACTAATCACAAGCTAATTACAAATGAGGCCCAAAAGAAGTAGAATATTACAAGTACTTTAACACGAGGTGCCAGGTCTTGTGTAAAATTTTGGGATATCTTCCTGATCTAGCACAATGCATACTATTCATCCTTGAGCTCTTCACCCTGTCCTCTCAGAGTGGTTATAGTAAGTAAATTATTAGGGATGAATTGAGTCTGGGGTTGCTCCGATGGTGATGGACAATATCAAATCAAAATATACGTTCATTAGGAATGGAATGAGCTTATAATGCTAGCCAAACTCTGAAACACACACCTCCTCCATGGGCACACCAGTAATTCACCTAAACATTACTTCAAATCTTGTTCTGTTGAAAAGAAGCATCATAGTTTTGCCACAAAACTACAAAAAGGCGGGGGATTAGATCAAAAACATCCAAAAAGAAAACACAAGTGCACATGAACAACCACACTATCTGAAATTCGTGTAGCAATACTCTACAAGATGTCAGTGGGATGACATTTGATAGCAAACATAAGAAATGCAAACTAGTTATACTCTAAATTGTCAAGTTGACTCAGATAATCTGCTTGTTTATGTCACTGTTTAGAGTTTAGGTGTGCATGAATCTAAGATGGACTTGGCTGTCAATACCACCAATACCAGTCACATATACAACCTACCAAGTAGCAGTCTTATCACACACATCTTATCCATTCTTTTCTTAATGCCAAATTTAAACCCTCATCTAAACCTTTAGTTTCAGAAGCTGCCATGGATTGTTTCCCATAAAAGTTCCTGAAGCAGCAAATGATGTTACCCTTAAAATCTTATCTTCTCATTTCCATTCCATTAATTTACTGCTTTGTCTCTCCTAGTATCATCTTGACGAGTCTTCTATAAGTATGGGTGTAAGTTGGTTTAGCTTTAACACCAAAACAATGTTTCTTAAGTGCACAGTTGTATGTGTAGACGCTTTTATCCCAATCCATCCCTCATTATGAGGAAGAATATATGCATTATTTTATCTCATTGTTCTGCCATATTTTCTGTTTTTGTGTATTGTGATGCTTATTTATTTACAAGATTAATCAATCTCATAACAATTGTAAGAGTGACTTTGGGAACTTCTGGTTGAAAGTTATCAATGTAAAGCAGAGCTAAGTTTTCTGTTTTATCATTTTATTTTACCACAAGTGGCCCAACATTTAACTCCAGAAATTCATTAATGATGATTTTGGTATTTGGGATTAATGATATGTGTCAAATGTGAATAAAGTCTGATGATCATGGCATCATCCTTTTGTCTCAAAGAAACACTTGTTCATAAGTTTGTATAATGGAAATGTACATTACAGGCAAGTGCTGTTGATTCCTATACTAACTAGTATACCCCTCCTCTGGTTATCTTACATCCATGAAAAATTGCTCATTTTGTGAGCATGAATCAAATGATACAAATTTCTCATTATACATCATGCCCTTTTGTTGAAGGGTCCTTTTCAAGAAATACCTATGTTTCCTGCTTCTAGGCTTACATTTTAAAATCACATTTCCTCTTGAGACAAGAAATATTTGATTGTACAACAATTTGTTAGTCAACAAACTTCTACCCTAGGAAAAATCTGTCATATCTGGCCTTGGTTAGTTTTCTATTTAGCAGTCACCCCTGCATCTGAACTGCCCTTCTTTTGCGTTTCATTTTTGTTCTTGGCCAACCTGCTTGCTGGGAAGTGTAGTCTGGCCATGAGAGGCCGTGGTGCTCTTGTTTTTTGATCAAATCCTCTTACACATACAAATCCTGCATAATATTTTTGAATTATATTAGCTTAAGGGCGGCTGTTGATATAGACAAAAGGCCCTACCAGCAGACTGCTTTTTCAATCTCTCATTGCTATTGCCATTATTAATTTCAAAAGTTGCTCGTACCTCTCCAGAAACAATGCTGAATTTGTTCTGTCGACAAGCCTAATAAGTACAAACAATCAGGCACTTTGATTTGATTCTCAATTAAGAATGTAAAATTGTAGCCTTGTAGGTCAATACCCATCTTAGTATACCTTTAAAAATTGTGGACACAGATGTCCCAAAGTAGACTGTCCTTCTGGGTAGATACCATATCATTTGTCTTGGAACATCAATTGGATTAAGACTGGATTCATGATCAGCAAATACCTGCACAACCAGTATCCCTTTTTACAAAATTTATTTATAGAATGATGATAAGCACAAACTGTCCAAGTATCCTTCCCCTGTACACTTGCACATTATGGCACAAATCAGTTCAATATTTCTTGAACACCCATCAATCCCTAACTTATGAAGCTATCATATGTCCATTTGCACAATATTGCTTCCAATTTAGCATCATAGATATCCCTATATATATATATATGCATATATGTATATATGTATATATGTATATATGTGTGTGTGTGTTGTGTTGTGTTTCATGATGTGCATTTTGATTTTACAATATCAATTTTGCAATGGGATTTGACTATAACAACTATGTCAACTCGTTGCCATTTAATAATATTTCCCATGTAATTAAAAAATTTATGATGATGACGGTTTTAGAATTTTATATCAGTATTCATTCTAAGATTGCTATAGAAAGGCTTCAGGCTTAAAACTCCACCACTGTTTTTGAATTGATTTTTTAGTGCTAATTCAATTTGGACTGCTTAATGGCACTATACATTTCATGCTTCCAACCCCGGCATAGTTGGGATTTAGCTGCTTATAAATATCCAAAATCTAAACAAAGACTCTCATACATAGTGATTGCATATTATATTTACCTCATTCACTTGGAAATATGTGCCATTAAGTGGGAAGCTCCCTCTTGTTGCTGTTCGGCATGGTATCTAGAACATTTTATGCATCTCAGTTATTGAAGTACTGAACTGTATTTTTGTTTATACTAGCAACCTTTTTATTGAATATGTATCAAAGGGCCTCTTACCAGAAGGGTGCCCCTAACTGTCTGTGAATTGGTTTCCCGTGCACTGCTGCACGAGTAACATGTAGTCTCCTCACACAGTTTACCCGATGCCTGGGTATTACACTTTGTTTCAGGCAGCTGAATTGAATTGGCTGTCTCACCTGGGTTACCGATACATGTGAGGTAAGCACGCATGATACAACACTATGCTAATTGTAATAATAATCTCTCCATACTGTCAAATACAACTCTTCCTCCTAAAACATAGGCTAAAGACATTTTGAAATAAGTTGTATCATGAAGAAGACATCAAAATACTCTGCCAATGCTTGGACATAAAGCATTACTCATTGTCAAACCACTTTGGTGTAGTCCCAAGATATTCTTTGCTTGTAGGAGGCGAGATCTCGGGGAAACAACTCATGCACTCGATGCCCAAGTTCTAAAGGCCCTGTCGGGCTCCTCTTTTCCCCAAACATTTTTGATAAGCGAATTCATTTAGTGCTACTCCACGGACTAAGTAACTATTGTACTACAAAAGATGCTTATTATTATCTTTCTAAAAAAGACAATCAGACATTACCCTATGGGCTAATTGGATATAAATTGTTTTGTGTTAACTAGATTGAATGCTTGGAACATATATATATATATATATATATATATATATATATATATATATATATCTGTGTATGTGTATACACACACATGTGTGTGTGTGTGTGTGAAAATGAAGCTTTGGGGGAAAATGGACAACTTATTTCTGACCTAGACATCTTGAAAGTCAGCTAGAAGGAAAGGGCAAATGGACAATATCAGAATAAGAAAAAGAAATTGGAAAAACTGATAGTGACCAACTCTATTTGCACCTTTAACTGGATGCAGGGCATTCCTATATAATTTTCTATTTTTCTCTTAGACTTTACTGGATCACATAATCCTGAACTCCATAGCTTTGTTTTCTTATGAAATGCTAGGAGCTAGTTTTGCTCAATGTATCAATGAAGAGCTAGATAGTCATATATTTAGAATTCATGGATCCTGAGAGAATTTAAAGTTTTTGCTTACCTGGTGTCCATATAGCAAGAAGGTATGGACTTGGATCATCAGGTTCACGCCTATCCATCTGAAGTTAAAGATTGTGAGTCACAATAGTCAAGACGGTCAAGTCTAGTGTCATCTAGCCAAATATTTAACTTCAAACAGAGTGAAGACTAATAACTAACCCCCTTGAGCAGTGGATGTGAGTCTGGAAGCTCATACCTGCAATTGATCATAGACACGTTGGAATTCAGTGATTAAGCAATGTAATGTAATGTATAACTAAGTGATTAAGAATCTAGATGTCAACAATACATCATTTGGTCAACAGCTTCCTAATGATCAAGGACCTTGTATAACACTATAATCTGCCACTGTAAATATCAAGGGATAGTACTTAGATCATACAGGCTTTCTATTCATTTGATAAATCATGTGAATGTGTATCAGTTAGAGCTGTTGTTTTTTTGTATCATAGTAAGTTCACCATTGTAAGATCTTCAACATACTTCCTCCATGACTAGACAATAGACATACATTACCAACGATAGTTTATACTCCGTATTAGTTCTGCTGTCAGTATGCCACAGTTTTTTAGCAAGTCAGAAACTTACACTTGATGTTCCGTTCGCAGGTGACTAATGTTTTTAAGCTTGGTTGTTGGGATAGAAGCAGCATCTGGATTCAATGCAACTAAAGCTTTGGATAGATCGCCTTCTTGCATTCCCATATTTTGCTCTTGCAACACAGTCTGCAGGTTTGCTGTGAATTCTTTCATGTTGAGCTCAATTGTAGGAACATAATCAGGATCTTCATAGTAAGCATCCTCAATATCACTAGCCGATACTTCTGGCTCAGGTGTTGCTGGCTCCTCAATAATAGGTTCACAGTTGCTAGTACTGGCTTCGGCTGCTTCTCTGTTTAAGCTAGTTATGTGGGGAAGTTGTGGCATTGGCCAGTTCAAGAATACAGGGACCGTGCCAGTTTCAATTGCAGCTGTAGAATCTACATTAATTGTCCCTCTCGACCTTCCTGGTAGAAGAGGCATTGGCTTGAATGTAGCAGCTGGATTTACATTGGCAGATACAGGTTGACTTGAACTAACCATACCTTTCACTTCTGGACCTGGAAGAGCAAGCCTTGCACTGCAGGTAGAATATAATTACCCTAAGATATCTTATGTGTGTTGCTGTATGATGCATTCTTTAATATAAACATACTTGGAGTAATAAGATAAATGCTTTGCAAGTTATACATCATACAGATAATTTTCATTTTATGAAAAACTCATCACAGAAATGCACACAATTCTTATACAGATTTAATGAAATTTTTAATTTTCAGTAACATATCTCAAATTTAGAGAGAAACAGTGCACACCACAACGAACCCAGTATAATCCCAACTCCACTGGGTTTGAGAGGCCAAGATGTACACAACCTTACCCGTGTAAAAAAGAGGTAATTTATGTTAGACCCTTGATGCATTGCTGCATTTACTTCCCAAAACTTCATAGAAAATAAGAAGCAAAAGAAGTTTAATGTGCCATTTTAATTTAGTCCATCATTTATCCAAAGCAAAAACATTTTCAGAAAGTGACTCTTTTAGCTCCAATGACAATAGTTAATGGATACCACAGAATACACTTGGATATTTTTCAGTTTTTCCAAAATATAATTTCGCTAATTGTATGACTTGTCTGTACTCTGTACTGGTGATTTGTTAGCCAAATAAAGTTTTGCTAGTTACTTGAGAAGTTTTGAATGGTAATTATTAATGCTTTTGATTTCATTTACCAAAGCACATACAAAGCCATAAAAAACCACCTGAATCAAATGTTTGATCACGTAATGGCTATGAAGTTCTCAAATGTGCACATACCAAAGCACCCTTTTGATTTCATCAAATGTTTTATTAACCCTTTTGATTTTAAAAATAGTGGAATAGTTAGGATCAAATGTGCCTTGTCACTGAGCTGCAGATATGAATGAAATACATGTAATAACTAACCTTGCAAAAGCACTTGCAAAATGTCTGCATTCTGCTCTCATTGGACATGCATTACAATTTGGTTTACTTTTTGTGCAGAAAACCTGCACCGATCACAAGCAATCATATAGCTCACTCCAAACGGTCAAAGTAATTTCCGAACATCGGATTGAATTGAACCTCAAAGCATCAGAACTATACCTTTCCAAATGTAATCATTTGATAGTGTAGCTCATACCTGCAGTTAGTAGCATGTAATCAGCGACTTATTGACAGGTAAGTTTGGCCAATACTTAATAAGGTAGTCGATAGCTATTTTGAAGATTTGATGTATTACAGTGTTTTCTGATCCAGTTTGCAGAGTCTTGGCCATAAATACTTCTGAATTGTCTCCAGAACTGGGTACCTGCAAGGAAACACAGTAAGGCCAATGTGGTAGAAAGTTTTTGGAGGGAATGAACCAACTAATGTCACTCACAGCTCAAGAAGATGCAACTGGAGTGACTCCGGAAGTTGTTGGAGAGGAACCCACCCCAATCTAACAGCAATTCGTCCAACATTTGTATCAACCTAACAAATGGAAATAATGAACTATGTCTCCAATATCAACTGTTTGATGGGTTTTGATTTGAGAAATTAATCTTACAGGGAAAGCAAGATTGTGTAGTGTTAATAGCCGGACACACTCGACACTTTTCAGACCCAGTCCTCGTATACTTAATAGATATTCCCTGAAATACAAAAGGATCTATTATGTTGGAGGAATTTATGATGCAAGATACAAGCCACTGACTTAGTAAACTTATATGTATGGTCACACAAAACTTACTTGACTTTGTCTGGAGGCACATCTCTTAACCATTCCAGGTCTATACTCCCATGTTCTCTAACAATTCGGTTGAGGAATTCCTGCACAAGATGTACAATTTTTTGATCATCTTTTGAGTGTTCTCTCGTATAAAGTGTAGATTTCTGTTATCATGACCTGACACATAAAAAAGGAATGTTGAGTTCTCATGCATACCTTGATTCGCTCAGCTAACATGTTGTTCATTCCTCTTTCCTTGATGGCATCTGAGATTTGCTTGACTTCTGCATGCCGAAGTGCTTCATAATCAATTGAGTCCATTGCATCCTTGCTCCTTCCTTTTCTATCATTCTTAGATTGAACTTGCTTTCTCAAGCTATCCCAATCAAATGTTGGTTTTCTATCCGCCATCTTTCTCTTTCTTGCATTTTCTGCAGTGATGTCATTCCCTGTAGATTGTTTGCTGGATGGATCTATATGCCACTCTGTATATTTATATACTTATAAGTATCTAATAGCTCATTATGATTATTTTGAGTGCTATTGACTCGATCTAATACCTCATAAATAATATTTTATCTACTACCCTAGGGGGCTTAGGTGTTGAACAGAACTGCATATATTTAAATTCTTGGCATTACCTGATTGTCTTTTAGCATTGGTTTCAGCTGGATGTGAATCTGCTGTGATTGTGCTTTCTGTCTGAATGACATTCGATGTGTCTTCATGACTGGTGGGCTGATTGATATACTGAGAACAAGAATGGTGTTGTAGGTTAGCATGGCACTCTGACTTCAATAGAAATGCATTGTGCTGCATTCCTGGCGGTTGATTCATTGGAGCTGCTTTTTTTGGGGCAATTGAGCTACTTATCTTTCCTGCCATCTGTCCCAATCTCTTACTAGAATAATCCGTAGTTTTTTCTCTGCTGATAGCTGATGAATGATTTATTGCAGTTTCCTCCCACGTACCATCAAAGCACGCTTCCTCTGATTCCAAGAGTGGTTTCACAGTCGACCAGAAGTCACCCAAAGCAGCTGCTGAGTTTTGTACACATTGGAGATTAGATTGGATCTCGCAATCAAATGCACTACTACTCTTTGCAGCTGTAACATTTTGTGTGTTGTACACTATATGTTCTGATTGCTGATATCCGAGAGTCGGACTCGTTTCAAATAGTGGAACACCCATCCTCTGGTGCTGGAATTTAGGGAATGGAACTGTAAATTCTATGTTTTGAGGAATCGTTTGATCGCTGTGGAAATTCATTTGGCCTTGTTCACTTGTTTGATCTTCTGCTTCTGAGTTGGATCCAGAGCTGGACCTGACTTCTTCATTGACTTGAAAAGTGTAAGACTCAGAAGAATTTTGTGATGAAATGAGTTCTTCATCGGTTCTTTTTGTTTGCTCATTCGCTAAATGGACCTCTCCTGTCACTATATTTTCTATTGCAGATTCAGATTTATCACTGGATATCAGAGAGCTTTGGTTACATCTTGACTGCGTTTGAATGCTACGATATATGATAGAACCATCTGGATCCATTACTTGAATATCTGGTTCCTCAACCCATGCAGTTATGTTATTCTGTCCATGTGCTTCTTCCATGCAACTTTGCTTCACGGGAAACCTGGCCGCTAAGGACATGAAAGCAGAGCTGCATGCAATAGGATATCATTTATTTAACTATCTTAATATCAAGTTGTGCCCTTAAATATAAAGTCATTGGCCATACCTTGAAAGATGGTCTGTCACATTCTGTGTGAGGAACACTCCTATGACAGAGTCCACTACTGAACCCTTCCACCGTGAAAATCGTCTATCTCCTGCAAAGTCATAGTTTTGTTAAGTCTGAGTTTTAGCGTAAGACGCTGCAGAAGCCAATTCAGATTATTTTTCACAGAGTACTCACTACCTAAAATATGATATGGTTATTGAAAAGAACCCTAGTTACTATATCTAGCCAAAAAATTCAAAACTCCATTTGATTCTTTCCAATTTATCATGCTGCAATCAGATCAACTAGAGAAACATATCTTGAAGTACTGTTCCAATATCTCAAAATCTGGAGAGCAGTAGTATATGAGATTTGTGATACCTTGAACAAGATGCATTCTTGCTATAAATGAGTCTGCCCGTCCACGGAAAACTTCCCTTTCTTCTTCCCACCATTTTTCCTTATCCTTGTCCATTGTTTGTGTGCTTTCACTACCTTCTTTACCCATCAACAAGTCCCAAAGTTTACTTGTGTCTGGATCAAGGTCAACTTTAGGCCGTGGCTTTCGCCTTTTAGTAAGATCATATTCTTCAAATGGTATCATTGCCCGATCTCCATTGTATGGAATAAGTGCATTTTGGTCATTCGGAACCTCACCATTGTCACTTATAACAATGCGTTCCAATCGGATGGCGAGTATATCAATTGAAACTGAGTACTTTAAACCATCATGTAGCCCTGCATCAAAAATGCTGTTGTAATTTTGACTTTAATGATAAAAAGTAGAAAAAAACTGATGAGTAGTTTTTATATTCTACAAACAGATGGATACCTCTTGCTTTTGTGGAGGCTTGTACTTCATTTACTGTTTTCTTCCTCTTTCCTGGAAGAGGCTTCTTAGTCCGAGATGTTTGATTGGATGAAGCCCTACCCACTTTTAATTTTTTTAAAGTAGTAGTGGCGGAAGTTCTTGATTCGTGCCCTAGCAGAGATTTGAAATAAGAAAGAGTTGGGTACTGATTGTTGAAGTTGTTGCTAATTGCAGTGAGAGCTTTGCAATCATCGACTCCAGTGCCTTGTCTTGAAATATGATCTGCCACTGTTTCTTCCCTTGAATGCAAATGATATGGGTTACATTGCTTCTCAGTATCTACTGTGCCCAACTGACCTGACGCATGCTGTTGCCTCAGGAATTGAAGCTCTGAAGCCAAGGGACTCGTTTGCCAGCTGGTTGAAATATCATTTAATCTGTGATCTGTTGGTCTGGGGGTTCTTGTGCCATGAGGATTTGTCTTAGATAATCTTTCATCAGCATGAGATATATAACTGCTCCTTTGAACATGTTCTGATAAATCCTTGATATGTGTAACACATGAAGGTGTACTTGTTGCCGTGGTCCCATAAAACTTGTTCTCAGACTTCCTTTTCTTGTGAGCTTCTGAGCTTATCTCGAGCGAAGCACAGTGAATATTAGGTTGACCCATCCTAGACATTTCATGGCACAACAATCTAGATCTAATTACTCCGATGCTTTGTAGATGGGACATCTCAGAACTGTATTGGTGGTAGTCTCTCTTGGATCTCCTTTCGTCACTCATATCACCTGTAACCAGCTGACTGATGCTCTGCAATGCTGACTGCTTTGGTGCACTCACTCTATTTTGGCTCATTGTAGTTTGGTTTAATACATTTTGGACATTGTCTTGATAGAGGATCGCATTTGAAGTGTTCAGATTTCTAGCAATGGCATTCAATGTATGACTTTTACTTGTAGCTGAGGGGGTACTTGGAAGAATAGGCTTTTGAAGAGCAGAGTAGGTTTCTGCTTGCTGTTGTGCATCTGCTTGTTGAGCTGGCGATGTAAGCGCTCTGCTAGTGCTTTGAGGAGCATCCAAATCAAAATTAAAAGGCTGGTCTCTGTGTTTGTGTGCTTTGTCTACCTTGTCCTCCTTTTCTGTTTCCTCATGGCTTTCATTTGTTGCTTCGTTATCTATGTTGAACTTTAGTGCCCTCTTGCATGGTTTTGCAAGATTTCCATTTGAAACTGAAACTTCATTTGCACTGTCGGATTGCTCTAGTGGAGAGCGCTTGGTGTTCTTTCTTCGGACATACTTCCTTTTTCCAGTTGGATTCTCCTTGGGTGTATTAGTCTTTTTAGCAGAAGCTTTTCGGGTTCTTTTGGGTTTCCCTTCCACCACCACCTTAGGCCGATGTTTTCTCCTCTTCCGAGGTTTCAGCTTGGGGGTCTGGATATTTGGGTCAACATCTCCATTTACTGCATTTCCAGAGCTGTGTTCCTTAAGCAGTGGCGATACCCCATCAGAGGATGAGCCTTGAGGATTCAGTATATGCCCTACAGTGTTGTTATCTTCCTGTGTACAACCAGCAACCGTTTCCTGCTTCTCCTCAGGACTTGAGCTTTTCTCTACAGTATCTGGCGGGATGCTCCTTAAATCTTGCACCTTATCCGGTGTCACTGGGGCCAATGTGGTGAAACTTGCTGTGCTGGAGCATGCAACAGTCCTCGAAGGATGTGAATATAGATTCCGGTTGGTGGGACCCGGTATGCAAAATCCATCTGTCATAGGTCAGCATTTCCTTCATGAGTCAAAATTAAAATATCCTTGCAAAATTTACATTTGAACCAACACATATTTTTAAAAGTGCATCTTTCCTATGACGATTATCATGCTTTTGTACATATATATGCATAATAACAGTGAAAAAATAGTTTTCCTGAACATTATCCTTCACAAAGTACACTGAACTATATTGACGTAAGCTAAAAAAATTGACGTTTGGCTCTCTACATTTTCTTTATTTCCCAGGACTGAGCCATGCTGTAAAAATCTGTCTAGATCCGCTTAATCTTTGCGTAGGTGCTAGCCCCCCTTCTTTTCCTTCCTGAATTGGTCCTGCGTTTTCTCCTATGCTCTACTAAACCTCTCCCAAGCCTTGCCTTAAAGGCGGGCTAGGCAGTGCCTAACTTCCCTGATTTTAGTCTAGGCAGCTCAAAAACTGTCCTGGTGCCTAGGTGCCTTCCAATTATAATTTATTTTTTAAAATTATTCTTAGCTAAAATTAATTTTTTTAAAAAAAATTTAAACATTTTTTATACAGTATACCAGATGATAATAGATGTTACATAAAATGTGATATTTTTATGCTTATCTTTCTGTTTTGGGAACGATAATATGTACTGATTTGATTGCATAATCCTTTATTTTATGATCTCATAGACACATTAATTGAAATGCACATGTTTATATTATAAAATAATATGTTATAAATCTAGTTGCTAGGAGGCCTTCCAAATGATGGAGACCTTGAAGGTTTGCTACCATTTAGAATGAAAAGTCTCAGCATTTAGGGTGTTTGGTTCGAGGCGTGGGAAGAGAGGGAGGGGAGGGGAGGGAATGGGAGGATTATTTTTTTGCTTGAGGCGTGTTTGGTTCGAGGGGATTAGAGGGGAGGAGAGCTTCAAGATTTTTGAACCAAATGAGGGGGGATCATTTTCCTCCCCTCCCCTCCCCTACAACCAAGCAAACCCTTAGTTCAAGTATCAAAAAAGATGAATACTGTAGACTACATATGACACGGGGAAAGGAAAGTGTACCTTGTGGATGGTATAGTCGGCTGTAAACGTCGGAAGCTGCATATGAACTCAATGGATTGCATCTATTGTTATTATTATCACTACTATTGTAACAATAATTCCCTTCAAACTGAGAATATGAACTGCATTCCAGTGGTTTATCATTCACAAATGCATTCTTATCTGGTGCTGCATTACTATGATGTGTTGTCTTCAGGTTTCTCTTCCACAAAACCTCTGCCAGAGTTGGACGGCTTTGATTTGCCCCTACGTTCTGGTTCAGGTTAATGCTTTGGACTTGCTCTATTGAAGGGTTGCTCTGAGAAGCCCCCATTGCCCTATTTGCCCCTCCCACTGGGTCCACATTCCCAGTTTTATCCCCTCCCTCATCTGATTGCAGAAACTGCCCGTAGATGTCAACCAATTCCTGCCAGTCTGCCATTTCCGTTGGCTCCTCATGCGGGATTTGCTTGTTTGGTTCCACCTGGTTTGGAATGGATCCAGGTAAAATCTGCCTTTCTAGTAGTGTTTCTTTGCTGTGATTTATCATCACCCTCTCCATTGGTGTCATCTGCATATTTTTGGCGTGACACGGACCAGGTCGGGTTAAGATCTCCATTTGGTTCGTTCTGGTTCCGCAGGGATCAATCAGGTGGGGCCGCGGTTGTGGTTCCTGGCGGAGATTCATCAACTCCGCCAGGCTCCACTGGGTCACCCCTGGTGGTTCCCGCCAATTTGTCATCGGATTCCCTCGCGAGTCGGCGGCCAGAATAACGTTGGGCCCCGACATGGTCGGCGTTGCCGGAGGAAGCCCATTGCTCCCCACTCCATTCTCTTGGGTGATGCAAGGTTTCCTCCCCAGATTCATAGATGAAGATCAAAAGAAAAGCACACCTTTCTTCACTTATATCTTCCCAACTCCAAAACCCATCAGACAGTGCATTTCAATCCAATGAGCCTAAACTCTACCTAATCTGTCAATGCAAAACAGAAAGAAGTTTGTTTTATTATGAAGAAAGAGTAACTGTAAAATAGCATCATGCAATTACTGCCAGCAAATTCATTTCCATGAAACAGTAAAAAAAATTAAAAAAATCCCATTTCTGAAATCATGCCTACCCAGTAATCCTCTGTATGTGTGTGTAGTTACTGCAGCAATTAGAATTTTCCAAAAATGATTAATAAGAATAAAAAAGAATCCATGGAAATTCAGAAATAACAGTAATAAAAATGCTCATGAAACAACCAATCCACCAAATCAGAAGTATCAAACCCAGTAAATGTATCAATGAATTAGAGAGGATTTTAACCCAGCAAAATAAATGTGGTAGAGATCAAATCTGCCACGTGATTTGTGCAGGTTTTAATGAAGAAATGCAAATCACCCCCCCAAAATATTCTCTTTTTTTTCATTTCTAAAACAAATTTCATAAATCAAAATGCAAAGAATTTAATCTGGGAAAGTAATTGCAGCTATGCTCACCGATCAGGAGAGATAGAGAGATAGAGACAAAGAGAGAGAAGTCTGCCCCCTAAACACCAGATTGAAAGAGAGAGAGAGAGATAGTAAAAGGGTATATCTAATTTCACAGAGACAGCTTTTATTTATAAAGAAAAACACAAGCAGTGTTGGCAGTCAGTACTAGGTTCCATTTTCAAGGATCAAGATTTTATGTTCCAAAATTGTACTTTTTCATATGACGAGTTATGAAGCTATTGTTGTCACAACTCGTCATATGTCATACGTATTTAATACTTTTATTCCATATTTTTACTATGAATTGGTTGATTGCACGTGATGATGCCTCCCCGTTGAGGGGTTGACATTTGACTTGAAGTTATGACTTCGAGTCTAACTTGCAATTTTTTTTAAATACAAGGTATTTAATATTTTTTGTTTTTAAATTATACATTGTTATGGTGGTATGAGAGTTTTGTTGACCCAAGATGTCACGAGTTCAGATTCCATTTTCACCCAATTTTCACAAAATTAATTTTCTCATGCATAGTTCGAGCAAAAATATATCCCGCTTGCACGTGGGGAGCATGTTAGAGTGTAAAACATTTTCTGGGCTTACAATCATACATCTTGAGATTTTGGTTGAATTAAATTTTTGACAATTATTTTGGGATGGAGGGAATATAAAAGTCGTGCTTTTACACGATGAGTTATGAGATTGCTATCGGTACTCGTCATATATAGCATACACATTACTCTGTAATAACTTTATTTCTCATTTTACAATGAATCGGTCAATTACACGTGTAAGGTGTTGACATTTGACTTGAGGTCACGATTCAGAGTCTTGTAAGCAGTCTTTTAGAAAAGCACAATGTATTACAATGTAGTATAACATTTTGTTTTTTAAAAAATAATTTTTACGTGCAAGACTTGAGCAAAAATAAATCTTGCCTGTACGTGAGGAGTGTGTTAGAGTATAAAATATATCATGGGTCTACAACCACAAAACTTGAGCTTTTGGTTTAGTGGTTTCTTGACAATTATTTTGGGACGAAGCGAGTATAGATTCGATCTTTTACACGGTGAATTGTGACACTGCTGTCCGTACTCATTATATATGGCATACACATTACTCTCTAATAACTTTATTTCTAATTTTACAATGAATCGGTCAACTACACGTGATGATATCCCAACGGCAAGGTGTTGACATTTGACTTGAAGCTATCATTTCGAGCCTTGTAACCAGTCTTATGGAAAAGCACAAAGCATTACGACGTAGTATGACGCTCTCCTTGAAAAAATTAAATTTTACATGCAAGTCTCGAGCAAAAATAAATCTCGTCTGCACATGAAGGGGTGTGTTAAAGTACAAAATGTATCTTGGATCTACAACCACAATCTTGAGCTTTTGATTAAATTGATTTATTAACAATTATTTTGGGACAGAGGGAGTATAAAAGCCATGCTTTTACATGGTGAGTTATGAGACTACTATCAGTACTCGTTATATATAGCATACCCATTATTCTGTAATAACTTTATTTCACATTTTATAATGAATCAGTGAATTACACGTGATTATATCACACCAGTAAGGTGTTGACATATGACTTCAAGTTATGACTTGAGTCTTGTATGATATTTTTTAAAAAAAGACGAAGTATTAAGCCATAGTATAATACTCTGTATTTATCTGCATTACGCTGTTATGTTGGGACTCTTTCTTGAATCCTGACAATAGATGCTTTATCCATTATTTTTATATGCCACCACCATTTCCTTCTTTTCAAAGTTTATTTTTTTGTAAACGTTTTTAAACTTTGACTATAATAAGTGAAAAAGCATCACATTGTGCTATTATGGTATAAGTTTCATATCAAAAAATTTATTTTGAAATATAATTTTAAAATATTATATTTTTATAATATATATATAGAGTATTCACATGAAGTAGAGATATTAACGGTGAAAGTGTTGCATTGAAGATCGTAAAAAATTAAATAGAAAGAAAATATTTAGAAGAGAGTAATAAATAATGTTTATAAGCCAAATAATGAGTAATTGAGATTCAAAATTTATCTAATTTGAGTTTTGAGTCAAATTGGACGAATATGCTGAGATGGACGAAATATATCGTTATGGTGAGATTCTTCTACAAATTGTGCACAATTGATGTTTTGTTTACCTGAAGTATTATTTTTATAAAAAGGTTATGCTTTTACATGATGAGTTATAAGACAGTTGTTAGTGCTCGCTGTGTGTGTATATAATGCATTTACTTTGATCTATAATAACTTTATTCACATTTCATAAATTATAATGAACTAGTCAATTAGACGTGATGATATCACACCGGTTGAGGCATTGCCATTTGACTTGAAGTTATGACTCAAGTCGTGTAAGCAATCTTTTAGAAAAGTACCTTGAAGTTATGACTCAAGTCGTGTAAGCAATCTTTTAGAAAAGTACAAAGTACGGAGTGTGACACAGTATAATACTCTTTATTTATCGATATTACACCGTTATGTTGAGACTCTTTCTTGAATCCCGCACAATGAATGCTTTGTCCCCATTTTTTATATACCACCTCAATCTTATTCTTTTCACATTTGATTTTTTTGTCAAAGTCTCTAAACTCCGACCGTGCATAATATGTGAATAAACATCACACCACGTCATTATAGTACGGAGTATAAGTTTCTATCAATAAATTTATTTTAAAATATAGTATTAAATATTGCATTTTTGTAATGTATAAGGTGTACTCATATATAAATATAAATTTTAATAGTCAAAATGTTGCATTAGAAATTGTGAAAAAATTAAATTGAAAAAAAATGAGAAGAAGAGTGGAGTGATATTTATGTTAAAGTAAAGAATAAAATAGTTTTGTAATAAAAGATCTCATTCTCATCTAAAATTCCTTGTTTGGAAATGAGCTTTTAGATGTTTTGATTGCTATTTTTGTCAATTGTTAAAGAAAAAAGTACTCCGTATTTCATAAAACAATCCGTTTGTCTTGACTATTTGCGTGTTTAGGTAAAATTACTTTTTAAAAAATACACTGTACAAGAACCTTAAAAAATATTTACTCCGTATATGTATATTTTTATCCGTCTGGTTCTATGACCACTGTTTTTCAGTGGTCACGGAAACCACTGCTTCGATTCAGATACTTACGGTACTCCATTCGTAAAATTGATGATTCCTACCCTAACCCTCGTCCAGTCCCGTCCCAACCCATCCCCGGCCCCTAGCCATGTCAATTGCACACCGCAAATTTAGTTGACTTTAAAGTAAAAAAAATTAACATCAAAGTCAACTAAACTTGTGGGATATAGTAGTTGACATGGGTAGGGGATGTGTTAGGGTCGGGACTGGGCGGGGGAGAGGGGAAGGGGGTTTACCGGGGGAGTTAGGAGAGAGATGAATAATCAATTTTACGAACGGAACATCGAAGAGTTGCAATAAATTTGTTTCAATATAAGATGAAATATAAGTTGTGCCAATAAATTTGTTTCACAAACCAACTATAGTTAGGGCTGTTCATGTTTAGGTCCAGACCGAAAAAACCGACCGACCCGGACCGTTAGGTCCAGACCGAACCCGGACCGATTAGATTTCGGGTCAGTCTTCGGTCTTGATTATTTGAGTTTTCGGGTTTCGGTCCGGTCCGGTCCATAATTTTTTTTATACAAAAAATTATAATATTTTTTTTTATAAGAGATGAATGAATATAATGAGAAAAATGAATATATATATGAAGTTGAAAAATGAATATATGTGAAAATGGGGCATGTGAGATTTGGTCAAAGTCCAAAATCAATGCACTATAAAACCTCCGAAATTTAATGCAAAGGATTGTCTCTTTTGTTGAAATCTGATTGTTTCATTTGGAACATCAGTTATTGTTTTCGCATCTCTGGGAATAAATTAATAATAATAATAAAAATAAAATATATAACTGTTTTCCAATTCGAGTGCTCGCCGTAAATGTCGCATCCCAATTTTTTTGGGTAATAGAGAATAGTTTCTTTTCTAAAACGGAGTAAAAGAATAGATGAATCATATCCATACATTCCCTATATCTGGATTGGTCTGATATTTAGCTGAGAAGAAGTAAATTGAGTTAGAAGCGGATAACAATGTTAGAAGCGGATTGGATGGTATACGATAAATGTGAAGAAGGCTTGATAGACTTAACGAAATGCGTGAAATATATTTTTAGATTAAAATTATTTTGAGATATAGCAAAAGATTTCAATTCAACCGGATAAGACGTAAGTATCTAGAAAGAGTATAGAACTTCCGTGTCGCTCGAACTTATCTTGAGACACCATATTACCATATAACAAGAGATAACTTGATTTCAATTACATAAAATAACTCATGATACTAAAGTTAACAATATTTTTCTCGTCCATACATTCTCTATATCTCCGGGGTTGGTATGATATTTAGGTGAGAGGAAGTAAATTAAATTATCTTCTTTAGCATTTCACTATTTCAAATACTCGTATCGTACTTGATTCACGTGAACAAAAAAATACTCTCTTTGTCCCATAAGTATCGTCCTACTTTTTAATTTGGATTATCCTAATTTTTTTCTTTGTTCTTTTACGGAAATAAAATATACGGTCTGTATCATTTTTCTTTCCTCTATATAAACCATAACCACACATATACAAAGAACAACTTTATTATAAATTGTGTTAAGTCAAACTGGGAAAAAAGGTGACAGAAGGAGTAATATTTATCACATACTACATCACATATTGAAAATCGGGGAGAGGAGGCAACACTGCATAACAGTGTTAAAAGTAGATCGGATGGTATACGATAAATGTGTTGAAGGCTTGATAGACTTAACGAATTACGTGAAACAGACTTTTAGATTAAAGTTATTTTGAGATATAATAAAAGACTTCAATTGCATAAGACGTAAGCATCTAGAGCGAGTATAGAACTTTTGTGTCACTCGAACTTATCTTGAGACTCCATATTACCATATAACTAGAGATAAAGTTGAAGTCCAAGCTTCAAGAAGACAAAAAGCAGATAAACTTTATACTCATATAGGTGGTTCTTTTAGATCTTGTACCTACATATACAATATTTCGAAAGGTTAATTAAAAAGATATGCTTCAACCTCCTTATTTTGAAGGTCCGAATACATACCTTGGGATGAGATTGCTAATGTGTTCCAATTTCTAGATGTTATACTTTTCAAATTGAATTTAGCACCTAATATCATATTAGGTGGGAATTGGGTATCTCAACATGAGAGACATCATATAGACTTTAATCTCATCCCAATAGCCGACTTGTGCACGATACCTCTTTTTAACCCTTTGTTTAAATGATCGACTAAATTGCGTTGAGTTTTAATAAACTACTCCGATATTACACCATGCTTGATCAAGTCACAAATCATGATATGTCTAACACTCAAGTGTCTAGACTTATCATTGTACAGTCAGTTATATGAATTAGTCAAAGTAGCAATATTGTATTGATAGATATTGGTGATATCGGTTTATGTCACAATGGCAAAACCAAAACAAACAACTCAAATTTTATTATTAGCGTAGTGATGCAAATCTATTTCTTTGAATCCCAAGACATAGTTCTTCCTCCAAGTAGAAATACACATCCACTAGTTGAGGAATAATTTTTAGTATTCTTTTTTTCCAACTTACCAGAGTGTACTAAGCTGTAGCCCATGGTTCTCTTCAAGTACTTGAACACTCTCCTCATATGTTGCTAATCATACATACCTCATTGGTAGTTGATGGCAATAAACCACCGAAGATATCGACTGCGGGGTCTGTGAGCTATGTAAGCTTGGATATGTAAAGTTTAGAAAGAGAGAGAGAGTGCAAAGTAGTAGTTTTATTAGCTTGAAATCAGATCCTTTACAGTGGGAAGCCCTTAGCCTATTTATAGATACAACAATACAACTAAGTCAACCCCTGTGACTGATACTTGTCATTTAGTAGACGTCACCTGGTCTTCATAGTCCAGTCCTTTTCACCTTGTCGCTATCATCCGGTCCCTATCATCCAGTCGCTATCCTCCCATCACGGTCATCTGGCCCGTGCCGAGGAGGAAGAAGCCCGAGGTCCGATCCGAGCTCTTCCACCGATCGAGTTGTCCCTCTCTAGGGTCCTCTCCGAGCTTACCTGGATATGGGCCCAGCCCTGGCCCAATACTAGGCTGACAAGAGGTTATCCTCCGTCAGTAGTGTATCCCTAAGTATTCTGACGATAAATATAAAGTGAGATCTTGTGTTGATCATGTACTACATTAAGTAGTCAATATCCCTTGAGTATTTAAGTTGAGACACTATTTTTGTTAAACAAAGGTTTAATACTATGATTAATATGATTGTTAATTAGAGAATAATTCTCACAATTGAACTTCTTCAATATTTTCTCAAAGCAATGATACCAACAAAGAGAGATTCCATTATTGCATGCTTTATTATAATGCCTAGAATTACCTCTCCCTCCCCTAGACCCATAATTTCACAAAAAAGTTTGATGATAAGAATTTCTTGGTCTTATTGATTTAATCTTGGTTTGCGCCAAAGATCAACATATTGTTAAATTATAATTCCTTTACCAAAAGCATAAAATTTACTATAAGCACATTTAATTTGTCAGCCTAGTTCAATTGGAAACCATGTGACTGTAAAACATCATCAAACTTTTGACATCGACACACATTGACTTTTCCCATTTGCAGACATTATTCTCATTACCAGCCATGGTGACCTCTTATAGTTAATTCATATAAAAATCCTCATTCAATTCACCACTCAAAATGTGGTTTTCATATCCATTTGTTGAATAATAAAGTTATAATATATAACTACATGTACAACAACAAGTTAATAGTGGAAAGTTTTCCAATAGACAACAACAACAACAACCCAGTTGAATCTCACTACAGTAGTGTCTGGGGAGGGTGTGTGTACGCAGACCTTGCCCCTACTCGGAAGTAGGGAAGCTGTTTCCAAGAGACATTTGGCTCCAATTGCACAAAAATTAAAATTGATAGAAATCACAGTATAACACAGATAAAGCACCAAGTACAATGAGATGAAAAGTTTTCCAATAGAGTATATGTATTAAAGTATTTCATTCCTTCCTTATGTCTAAAGTCTTGGATAATCAATCCATCTTTAAATTTGTCGATGATACCGTCCACTTTGATATTCTTCTTGAAAATTC